TTTGATGATTTTTGGTTGTTTATGCACGTTGCTTGGTTTATGTTTTATCCAGCTTATATTTATTTAGTATAACAGTTTTTTGCCTTTGGAATGGCATGCATTGAGGCTAGATAGTGTTTCATTAGATCATTAAAAGGAATTTAGAGTAGCATATATATTTTTGTCATATTAGTGTGTTATCATGATACAGGTAGTTGTATCATAGTGCCTTATGCATGTTATTTTACCTATTATATACTTATGTAATGTATTATCAGTAAATAGATGATAACATACTACTAAAATGTCTTTTAATAGTATGTTTATCTTTCAATTCACTAGTTATTTGCAAAATGTATTTTGAACTAATTTAAGTCATTAATTGATCATCTTTCTTTTTCAGGTTCTGGGATATTCTTTTCATTGTTAAAAAAATATATATATTTCAATATTATTGTAATATAAATCGCAGCTCTAAAAAATAAATGATATTGTTTACTAATGTGTAATTTATTTACTATGAATTTTCTCTGAAAATAATAAGTCTTTAATAATATCATTGATTTGCTGTGTAAAGTTAATAGACATATTTTTAATACATTAAATTATATTAAAGTAATAAAAATATGTTTATTAACTTTAAACAGTAAGTCAGTGATACTTATAAAAGTATTTTTTAAAAAATTTCCCCTCTTTTAAGCCCCGCCCCTCCAATTCCCCTCAATTTAGCTAGTACTGCCAGGCGACACCAGGTAGCGTCTGTTTCCATTTTTTAACATGAAGTTAGCATTTCTTTAATGTACCTATTCTCTGAATGGGACTTTAATTGAATTTTGTACAAATCCGATTGGTTCTTTTGTCGTGTCGCTGGCGACAGTCGCAGTTCTGAGAACGGGGCTTAATGGTGTGGATCCGGTGGCTGACCTTGAAACGAGTTTTTGCTGCATATAGTCACAGACACTACGCATGCGCACATCTTCGATGTTGCCAGATTGCGAGTTATTTTGAAATTATTTTCAGTAGAAAATAAATATATGCTTTTCAGTGTTTTTTTGGCAATATATACCGTATGATCGAAAAAACGGCGTCTAGTTGGCGGGGAAATGACGATTGAGATGATTTCTAAGTGATTTCCCATATAAAATGAGAGCGATCTTCATTTCATAGTCACCGCTGACGCTATTTTTTTTTTCAATCATAGTACGCGGTATATTATTTATATTATTATTTTAATATTTCGCACAAGACGTGAACGCTTATTATGTATTTTCATAGTCAATAAAATTAAATAGATATAAAACTCTAGATTCCTATCTAGATTATTATGCTACCTTTAAAAAGTGCTTTATTAAAAATTCGGGAAATTAAAAGGAATGTGTCCAAGTTTTTTCTTTTTTTTTAATTTTTAAATGCTGTAGCTCTATGTCATGTTCATAATAGTTTTTTTAACATTCCATCAAAACTACGGAGGCCTTAAAAGGCCTTTAAGCCTCCGTAATTAAAATTGTAGGATCAGCTTCAGCAACATTAACAGTTATACCTTGTTTAATTCTGCTTATACATATACCTATTGCATTAATTTTTCTGCTACATTAAGATTTCTCTATTCTTACACCTAATTTATGTGATTTTCTTAGCATATATGATTTATAAACCATATTTTTCCGAATGGAAGGATGGAATAGGGTATGTAAAATTAAGATATTTTAACATTTATTTTCCAGACCAAGCATAATATAGTATTAAGATTAAGACATAACAAATAGTATAAGAAAGATCTTAGTATAAATCACAAACTAAGTCTTAATTTGGTCTTGTATAAACACAGGTATAAAACTAATAAGATCAAAACTCAACCTTCACCATATTGTCAAGATTTGGCATTATAGGAAACAAGAAATTACAGTAAATTAAGAAAAGAATATCAAAGTACACGATATTAAATACTGTAATGTATTCTACGATACAAACCATCTCCCTTCTAAAGAAGAAAAGATAAAACATAAAGCTTATTTTAATCTTATCAACACACACTCTTCGATAAAATATATGTCTAAAATTGCTATTAATCCACTAACTTGATATTTTTAAGAAATTAAGATACAAACATTAATTATAATCAAAGTATATTATATTAGTAACATTATAGGTAAAATGTTACCTCTATCTCAGATTGACGTATATTGTTCTATAATAAGACTCGTCATGGTAATACTTCAAAACATCAATATATAATCAAAACTATTGTTGCCTGTAAATAACTAGAAATTAAATAACTTGAAAGAAATAAAATTATAATTCTAAGTTTAAAACCATTAAGAAAAAATTCGTAAATGATAAATTTTAATTCTAATGTAAATATATAAATAAATGTTATTATTATTACAATTTTATATATTCATAATACTTTCATTTCACAATCTTCATTATCCTTCTTACCTTAATTTTGGATATCAAGAGAAATCTGAAATTGTAAAATTAATTATAGAATTTGTATTATTATTGATATCGAAAAAAAATTCAACTGCAAATAATACGAAAATAAACTGCAATTTGGCAACATCGACGATGTGCGCTTGCGTAGTATCAATGATCAAATGCAGCAAATATGGGCTTCAAGGTCAGCCACCGGATCCACACAATTGTTAAACTACACGTAGTAATTAATAAATTACATTTACTACATGTCACAAGTAGTTTTTAAATGTCGAGTAGTAAATATGTAGTTTATGTAACTAATGTAGTTTTTTAAAATAACAGAACAGTAAAAACATAACCAAAAACTTTGTTGATCAATTTATGAAATAAAAAATCTATATTTTGTGAATTTGTTCCTTATTATGTAATATTTTTGATACTTAGTAGTTAAAAATTAGAATTTATAGTTTATTTTGTGTTTAATAGTTACTTTGTATTTCATAGAAAATACACCTTTATTGAAAAAAAAAATATATTTTTTTTCTGATGTTGTTTAACTTATACAAATATAATACCGTATGATCGAAAAAAAACGGCGTCCAGTTGGCTTGGAAATGACGATCGATGACATTTCCCATATAATTTTACATACAAAATGACAGCGATCTTCATTTCATAGCCATCGTTGTCGCCGTTTTTATTCGATCATACGGTATAACTTCATACTTCAATGGTAAGAATTTGGCTTGATTTTTGTTTAAAATCTAAATTGTTTATGTTTTACTATAATTTTGTAGGTAGTTTTTAATGTAGTTTTTGAAGGTAGTTTCTAAAATTTTAAAACGTAGTTAATACAAGCAACTACGCGTAGTTTTTGGCGTAGTTTTTTTGCTTCATAACTACTTAACAACCCTGATCCACACCTTTACCCATCCTTTACCTGTGCCTTTACCTATCTTGTTGTAGGGATGTGCCACATCATTATAGTGCTAGTTCATAAGAACTATTTTATATTTTGCTTCGAGAAAAGTTTTCGATGCCACAGATCTTATTATTATGGTCAAGGGGCCGGGTATGTAAAAAACCCTTAAAAAACCCGTCAGCTTGGGGCTCGGGATAAGGCGCTGTTACCAGAGGCTGTTACTTTCAAAATTGTAGATTGCTGCATTGCCAGAGTGACCGTTAGTTTAAAAATAAAACAATCGACTTTTGTCAGGTAACATAAATATATAAAATACGTATATAAATTTGATATCCAAAAGGAGCATTCGATATGAATTATAGATCTAAACCAAAGATATAGTCTGTGAAACGAATAACTTTGAATCTGACAGTTCCCGCGGCCTTTCTAGTGTTAATTTTATTAGGTTAGCAACTTGCGGCCCTGCTGACGCAATGCCGTCTCTAATAGAACAGCCTCGGAACGAGATTTATGACGTCACGCTAACATAATTATTCCTTATATTTGACTATGGCTGAAATCGTACTCCATAGTCAATGTAGATAGTTTTAGTGTTAAGAATAATAATTTTAAAAAATATGTGGTCATCTTTTGACAAGTTTATATTAATTGCCAATTAATTATATTAATTGTCAAGTTTATATTAATTGCAGTAAACATTATGTGGTTTGTGCTGTGAATATTTTATATGCAATTTTTTGGATTATATTCGACACTTTTTTTTTATATGACACAACACTGATGAAGGCTATAATGTTAGCCGAAACGTTTTTTTTAAACCAAAAAAAATAATGGAAAACGAAATGAAAACTTAATCAGCGTTTTTCCTGAACCTAAATCCCAAGAAAATCAAGAATTTTAGAATAATTTTACATTATAAAATGACAGCGATCTTTATTTCATAGCCATCGCTGACGCATTTTTTTCTATGATATTGTATTATTTGCAAATATAATTTTTCGAACATTGATACTAAAATATATATACATATAAATTTTGTGAATGCAAATAATAATACATCACTATTAGTATTATTATTAGTTTATTGAATGTTTTTTGTTAAATTAGATCGATTTTCAAACCCCAAAATTTAAAATATATTTTACATTTTACCCATTATCTTATGTACCTATTCATTATTTGTATATTGTAAAACATTTGCTGCATTTGTATGGTTCATAGTTTATTTGCCAAAGTGTTTATTACTATAAATAGGTATATATTATATTTATTAACTGTATATTATGTATATTTCATGTAAACTATATCATTTTTAAAATACAAACCAAAAATACGAGGAATAATTATTTTTTTATTAATTATGTATTCTACAACATATTTATTAATCCGTATCTAATTAGCGTGACGTCATAAATCTCTCTCCGAGCCTGTTCTATTAGAGACTGCATTTGTCTGATATTTAGAAATGTCAAAAGCTGATGACATTTTACTTTTGACAATTATGCCATTTCGTGTTGATTTTTGCAAGAAGAGGAAGAACTGTCACTTGTTTTATTATTTTCCTTTTCTATTTCACGAAAGTAAAAAGAGTTACCTATCTGATTCGTTCAGGCACTCAATTTAAAGGATACTTAAAGAATATCTGTAACTTTTTTGATAGAGGGATTTTATATTTGCCATGTTGGTAAAAAATAACGGTCAAAATTCAAAGTTATTCATTTTATAGACTATATAAACTGTAAATTATTAAAAACAAATCTTGGATCTAGAATATAGATCAATTAAAATGCCTCCAGAACACAGAGAAGTGGATTTGGAACTTGAAGAACAGTTTATTTTAAGGCTTCCTATAGTAAAAATTTGACACTTATAAGTTTTATATATTAAATGTTTATACTCTTATAGAATGAAGCTGGAAACATTAAAAAAATATTGAATACAAAACCCGAGAAGATAAAACGTATATTAAAAATTGATCTAGATGTTGCAAAATGTATCGGAACTGTTTATATAGGTAAAAAGAAATTATCTGCTTATCTGAGAACATTTCCCACAATTATAGAGTCTTATAAAACGAATATTTTAAATGACAAAACAAATACTTATAAAACCGCAGATATTTGTCATATAGTCGAATGTTATGAGTACCCTTTGGATTGTTTTAATAAAGATTTATTCCATGGATATACACCTCCATTAAAAAATGTAAAAAAACGAAGGTTTAGAAAAACTTTAGTTAATCCAGAATTGATTGAAGAGAATGAGTCAATATCAAAAGAATTATATTTCTTACTAAAAACTGATGTAGAAGCTGTAAGTTTTATATAATGGAACAACATATTTGACATACAGAGAAAACAGTATAAATTTACACAATTAAACCAGTTATTTGTAATAAATATTTCTCCAATGCGATATAAAATATATTGAACAGGTAAAATATTTTTCTTAGGTATCTACAAAATATGAAATCATTTATGAAGATAGTAAATATGGAACATTCGCAAGTAATTTTTTTACAGATATGCAGTTCTCTTTAAAAACTGTCTGTTTTTGTAATATTTCAGATGAAACTCTTTTTGGTCAAACTACATCTAGTGATAGCGACATTGAAGTTGATATATAACATTGTAATCTGTATAATTCATTGATAACATAAAGGTCTAAATTTATGTTAATAACATGTTTATTTTTAATAAGCTTTAAAATTGTTGTTTGAACAAACTTAAATTAACATATTTATTATTGTAAAAAAGTTCCTCTGTATTAAATAATTAGAAAACACATAAAAAATACTACTTATTTTTTTTCTTTTTCTTCGATGGCACTGGCGTATTCTCGGAAAGTCTTCTTTTATTTACTATACTCTCTTTGGGACCAACAGTATATTGGGTATCACCTTGCGTTGGTGTGGTGTCATTTTGTTGATGATTGTTTAAAGATTTATTTTTTATGTGTTTTTTCTTTACCTCCAATTTACTTTTCTTCTCATCTTGATCGAGCGTGTTAATTTCTGCAATGTTTAAATTAACTTTATCCAGTCCATTTAACAAATGTTCCGTTCTATCATCTGCGAGTTTTACTGCTTTATTTTTATCCTTTTTTCCTTTCTTTTTGTTATTACCATTTTCTCTTGTTTCAGTCGACTCTATTTCATTTACAGATTTCGAAACTTTAGTAATATTATTTTTCATTTGAACAATATTAGATATACCTAACGACCGGCACAGTTTACTGAAAGCTGATTTCGCGTCTGTCGAAAGACTTTTGTGGCTCCTATATTCTCTGACATAATTTCCAAGGTCAGTCCAATTTATATTTATTTTGACTGAACTATTTTTAAGTATCGTTAAAAAGTTAAACAGTAAACAAATAAATCTATCTTTAATATCTTTTCGATCAGGTTCCTCTGATAGGCTATTCAGAAAAGCTACAAGTTTAATACAAAATTCATTTTCATTAGCGGACATTATATCTTGCACGTTATCCAAGTTCTGACTTAGAAACCTTTGATTTGAATAGAACATAATGAGCAATTCCAGCACTTGACTTTTTTTAAATTGTTTAATATTTTCGTCAAACAAAAAATTCAGTAAGTTTCTAGCTAATTCAATATTACCATTCCAAGATAATCGTATCAAGGTTTTAAATAAAATGTATGGAATATGGCATTCTCTCTTGTTGAAATAATTATGAATTTCTTCACATAGTACTTTAGAAATGTTACTATACAAATGTTTTTTAACTTTTTTAGGTGTGTCATCACTGTTTATCAAAATATCTGAACATTTGATAACGAAAACGCAACAATCCGCAATCTGTTGCTCCATATCTTGTATTAAATTATTATTTTTCGTTCCCTTATCCAGGAGACTTTTCAATAACTCCACTAAATTTTCATCGTTAACGTCATTAGTGTTTGAGAATTTCTTCAAATTCACCAGTTTCTTTAAAAGACCTTTTAATCGATTGTTCAAAGGTTTTTGATGATGATCTCTAATACTAAACTCTAGTGATTTTAAAAGAGGTAGCATAATCTCTAAGGTTAGGTACATCGAAGGTACTGAATCCAAATATATCTCGATTAAGTCCAGAACTCGAACACGGAAATGAGTTAGGACCTCTTGATCCTTACTTTGTTTCTTCATTTTTCCGATATTAGGTTTATATTGCCTAAACACTTCACCAAGAGCTTTATCAAGAGTTTCGCCTTCTGTTTCACTTAACTTATCCAAATCGATGCTTTCGTCATCAGAAGGTACTCCTCCGACAAATAGAGCTTGATGTAACGCCATCTTAAGTTTATCTGACACTGTTTCATCGTCGAGAGAAGAATCGAGCATTGATTCTCCCTCTGAATCAGAACCTGAGCCATCATCGGTTTTCGATTCGTCGCTATCATTATCCGACAGGTCCCTAGTGTCTTGATTCTTTGAAAGAGGGTTTTCACTTTCTGGGTCCAAAACGCTCAGAACTTGGTGTATAGTCGTTGGAGTCATATATTCACATAGATGTGGGTAAACAGAATTAATAACCGTTCTTAACAAATGTGAATTGTGCGACAAAAGACTTAAAAAGAGATCGGTCACAACTTCAATCCAAAGGGGGTCATCACCATTTTCCACTGCAAAACTCTCTTCGGATTTCTTGGAATTTCGACGATCAGATTTTTCTTTTTTAGTTCTTTCGTAGCAATTAAATAATTCGGTTAAAGAATCTTCAGCCAGTTTAACGTCATTAAATAGTTGTAAACTCATATGCAAGAAAAGTGTTAGGAAAACCGACTTTATTCCTGTTTTTTTCTTGTTCTTTTCAATTTTTACGACAATATTAAACGTTTTTTGCCATAAGTTATATATTTCGGTTGTTAAAGGCATTCTTAATATATTTTCGTAATTTTCGGGTGTTAATTTAGAAGAAAGATAGTGTACTAATTGGGACAACACAAACTGAACTTCTTCCAGTTTGGATAGTCGTAAATCCAACGCTCCAAAAAAAGCAGTCTTGATCGAATCTGAAAAAATACATAATATATTTTAACTGTAAAGATACCGTATGATCGAGAAAAAAAAAACGGCGCCCCGTTAGCTTGGAAATTAACATTGATGATATTTCCCTTAATTTTACATATAAAATGCCGACTCGAAGCAGCAATAACTTGGCCGTTGACGTTTGTTAATAATAAAAATTTGATGTAGAACATTCAATTTTAAAATGCAAATATTCAAAGCAATCAAATTTGCATTAAAAAAAAACAGAGAAATACGAAAAAAAGTTGAAACCACACACGTTTATTGAGACATTATAGCCTAATTTAAAGTCCATCTACCTACGGCCAAATTATGTTTTTTGAATACCTCATTTAAATTTAAAAGGAACCAATAAAATGCGCTGTTGCCAATTTTAACATTTTGCAGTTCTATTAAGCCTCGTCTACTCAAGGTTTTACCTGTTCAGTCAAAATGTTTAAATAAAACCTCGTGTGTGTACGAAAAAAAAACAGATGTTTTACTTGAATTGAATTAAAAAAGAAGACTGTCTAGAGAACTGACTAGATCATTTAGTTTTACAACACATTTTACACACAACTGTTGTTTTGCATACACTGAAAAAAAGTAAATTTACAAAAATAATATGAATATATTATAGTATCATCAACAAGTGACTTTTGAAAAATTAGTATTTTTGCATGGTTTCACAAAATTTTTTTGATATCCTTGTTTATACTAGTGAGATTTTTATCATTATTACTAAATTCCATGTGTTTTATTAAATTCCATGTATGATGTAGGGGGACACAATAGGCTTGGTGCATTTCAGTTGATTTCAACAAATTCCGACCGCAGCGCTTCAACGGCAGAAATCAGAAATTATCAGTATGTATTTCACGCCGCCGTCATATTGATCGCATTAAAATAATATTGAAATCGTGGTTTTTTCATTATATTTAAGTATTTAAGTTTTTGTTAGTGCAGTTATTGAGACTATAAAACACTCAGGCACGAGGTTTGTGTGATGTAACGCTGTTTCGGGTAGTAAAAAATAAGTGAAAAAGAATTCGAACCAGGCGTCGTGTTGTGTTGTGACAATTTCAAAAGTTAATAAAATGAGCGTCGTTAGGGCGTTGTTGGGTGCAATAACATTCAATAACTCAACTTTCCCGGATATTCAACTCTCCTGAAACATTTTATAGCTTCATAGTTTCTCACACCGATTTGATCAAAAGCAAAAATGAATTCAAGCAGTTCGACGAAACAAGTGAGTAAACAAAGTGCTCATTACATAATCAAAAAATGAAATAGACATATTATGAGGGGATAAAATATACATAGTTTGCAATATTAATAGTAGGTATACTTTTTTTAATCAACTAGTGATTAAATGTTTTGTGAACATCTTCTAAAATTATAATTATGTACCTTTAAAAAATTTCGTTATAACGGAAATAGCCCCAATTATGACACCACTAGCACAACCGGTGATTAAAACTGCTCGCTACCGTAGTTGGACTCATCTAAAAAGTTTTTTTTTAACTGGAATAATAAATTATAATACAAGTTAGACCTTCTGAAGATATCAAAATATTTACTTTTTTATTTTTATTTTTAGAATTGTCACAAATTATACTTCCTAACACTTTTAGAATAATTAAATAATACATTTTTCGTATGCTCGCTATTTAAACCCATTTATTTGTATATACTAGTTGTTTACGATATTCTCCGATGGTGGCAGCACCGGCGGAGAATGCTCCAAAGATAAAGATCTTTAAGGCCGCGGTGATTACCCTCCCCCCCAACGTTTTCTTTCAACTTAACTAAACACATTTAACACAAGGGTATTTAATAAAACCGTAGGTAAAACTTCCAGTGTGTAAGATAACCTTTAATCAGTCTTCCCTGACAGGTAAAACCAATGACTAAAGAATATAAGGACATATAACGCCCATATACGGGCTGCAGCAGAATTTGTGACTTTAGAGGCCATTCTTTTGATGGCAAACAATGAGTCATTATTTGGTCACCAGCGATAATTTTAGCGATTTTTAATAGTTTGTGTGTAGTAAACTTTGTATAAACTTTATTACAATAGTGATTAGTTGTTCAGCTTTCAAGTGTAAAAGCAGCAGCGATAAGAAAGAGCCAGAAGTTACCTTTCATAGGTAAATAAACATGTCCACTCCAACTTTTTAGCGTTTTCTTATTGAATTCGATAATTATTCTTCAATTTCAATTAACATCTATATGTACTTGATATGTGCTATACGTCGATACAAGTTTTGTATCTTTTGTTAACATTTTAATGCGTTTTTTTCGTAATTAATTAGTATGATACACCATAGGCGTAGTCAAAACAATTATCAAAAAATATAAATATTGCTCAAACAGCTAGGTTAAGAAAAATATGTGCCACGGCACTGTTCGGTGACATCGGCACAATTTGCTCTCAGGTCCTTGGAGTCTTTAGTCTTGCTCTCATTTGTCCTTGGAGTCTTTAGTCATTGGGTAAAACGTTATGTATAAATGGACTTTTAGATAAAATGATATCTTAAGGTGCGTTCACATCGGCTGCGCCGCTCTGCGCCGCGCCGCGCAAATAATTTTTTTTAACGGTAAAGGTGTGGATCCGGTGGCTAACCTTGAAGCCCATATTTGCTGCATTTGATCATCGATACTACGCAAGCAACAAATTGCAGTTTATTTTCGAATTATTTGCAGTTGATTTTTTTTCGATATCAATAATAATACAAATTCTATAATTAATTTTATAATTTCAGATTTATCTTGATATCCAAAATTAAGGTAAGAAAGATAATGAAGATTGTGAAATGAAAGCATTATGAATATATAAAATTGTAATACTACTAACATTTATTTATATATTTTACATTAGAATTAAAAATTATCATTTACGGATTTTTTCTTAATGGTTTTAAACTTATTAGAATTATTTTATTTCTTTCAAGTTATTTAATTTCTATTTATTTTCAGGCAACAATAGTTTTGATTATATGTATTGATGTATTGAAGAACTACCATGACAAGTCTTATAGAACAATACACGTCAATGGGAGATAGAGGTAACATTTTACCTATAATGTTACTAATATAATATACTTTGATTATAATGTTTGTATCATAATTTCTTAAAAATATCAAGTTAGTGGATTAATAGCAATTTTAGACATATATTTTATCGAAGAGTGTGTTGATAAGACTAAAATAAGCTTTATGTTTTATCTTTTTCTCTTTAGAAGGGAGATGATTTGTGTCGTAGAATACATTACAGTATTTAATATCGTGTACTTTGATATTCTTTTCTTAATTTACTGCAATTTCTTGTTTCCTATAATACCAAATCTTGACAATATGGTGAAGGTTGAGTTTTGATCTTATTAGTTTTATACCTGTGTTTATACAAGACCAAATTAAGACTTAGTTACTTTGTGATTTATATTAAGATCTTTCTTATAATACTTGTTATGTCTTAATCTTAATACTATATTATGGTTTGTCTGGAAAATTAATGTTAAAATATCTTAATTTTGCATATCCTATTCCATCCTTCCATTAGGAAAAATATGGTTTATAAATCATATATGCTAAGAAAATCACATAAATTAGGTGTAAGAATAGAGAAATCTTAAGGTAGCAGAAAAATTAATGCATATATATATATATATATATATATATATATATATATATATATATAAGCAGAATTAAACAAGGTAACTGTTAATGTTGCTGAAGCTGATTCTACAATATTAATTACGGAGGCTAAAAGGCCTTTAAAGGCCTCCGTAGTTTTGATGGAATGTTAAAAAAACTATTATGAACATGACATGGAGCTACAGCATTTAAAAATTTAAAAAAAAAGAAAAAACTTGAACACATCCCTTTTAATTTCCCGAATTTTTAATAAAGCCCTTTTTAAACATAGCATAATAATCTAGAGCAATTAGATTAATTATAGGAATCTAGAGTTTTATTTCTATTTAATTTTATTAACTATGAAAATATATAATAAGCGTTCATGTGTTGTGCGAAATATTAAAATAATATAAATATACCGCGTACTATGATTGAAAAAAAATAGCGTCAGCGATGACTATGAAATGAAGATCGCTGTCATTTTATATGGCAAATGTCCTCAATCGTCATTTCCCAGCCAACTGGACGCCGTTTTTTCAATCTTATGGTATATATTGACAAAAACACTGAAATACACATATTTGTTTTCTACTGAAAATAATTCTAAAATAACTTGCAAACTGGCGACATCGAAGATGTGCGCATGCGTAGTGTCTGTGACTATATGCAGCAAAAACTCGTTTCAAGGTCAGCCACCGGATCCACACCATTAAAGGTGCGTATTCATTATCCGAATGAACGAACGAACGAACGAACGAATGTTCGCTAGTGGTATGGACGGGGACCGCACGAGAAGACCGGAGGCATTTGTTGGCGAACGCCTTTGATGTACCGACTCGAAACGGATGGTCGAGCGAACGAACGAACGAACGGCCGCGTTCGGTCCCCGTCTAAATATACCGCACTTTCATTCGTTCGTTCGGATAATGAATACGCACCTTAAGGTAATAATACGTACCTTAAGCGGCGCGCAGACCAGAGCGGAAGCGGGCGCGGTAGCGGTGCGGTCACAATGCGATCATGAACATCCGCACACCAATGCGGTCAGTGTCAGTACCGTTTAGAGAAGATTGTTACAAATTTTCATTTTTTATAATAATGAACATTGAACAAACATCTTTTTTTCCAAAGTCACAGAAGTATTAATTTTTACGACGTGATTGACAATATAAAAACGCAATTTTAACGCCTAGGCGTAAAAGTAAAGCATTTTTACGCGTCAAACGTATAACGTCGCCACGAAAAGTATCATTTTGACTCTTAATAAAACAATATACTATTACTCTTGGCTTTATTAGATAAATCATATAAAATTGGTTGCACACACACTTTTTCAATATTTTTTTCTGTATTACACATGATAACTAGGGTGATTCTACTTGTTAAATATCGTGCGAACTGGCGGGCAAATGGTGCATGCAGCGTTCTAATCTGCTATACCGCCGTCCGCAAAGTTCCACGCGGTAGTTCGCTGCAAGAAAAGGCGGGAGCGTTCGCCAGATCGGGGTAGTGTGCTCTCTTCAATTTAGTTACATGTACCAATACTCTCCGCAACGCCACCGCATCCGCCACCGCGCCCACCACCGCTCTGGTTTGCGCGCTGCTTTACCTTTTTAACATATACTTTTGTGCGCGCTAAAAAAGTACTTCAAAAGTACACGTTAAAAAAATGTTTTGCGCGGCGCGGCGCAGCCGGTGTGAACGCACCTTTAAGCATAAATGATAAATACTAACCTGCTAATTCTCGTCCTACATTGCTATCCGTTTCTCTAAAAAACGCCAATTCCATCAAAAATATAAGCTGTTCAACTTTCCATTGATTTTCTGATTTCATACCAGGTAAATTTAATAACTTAATCAAAAGATGAACACTGTACAACCTATCATTGTTAACCCATCTCTCGCTATCATTTTCAGAATCAATTTTTTCAGAACCTTTTATTATATTCTTATATAATAATGCTAAACTTTTTATTCCCTCTGAATCCATAGTAAAAATAATCTGTTGGATCAGCTTACTTTTGGTAATTTTCTCAAAAACAAATGTTCCCGGATTAAATAAAAGTTTTCGGATCAACAAAACTTTTACGTTGAAGCTAATTTCTTCAATTTTCATTAAATTTACTACAGCATCGAATAAGTGATGGACTAACTGAACATATTCTGGATCTTTTTGTTTCTGATTCAGAGTTCTAAAGTAACCGAGCAGTTGAATAATAAAATTATTTGTAAAAAAATTTGGTATATGAATGAAATATTTTTTATCTTTATCCTTCAGGTCTAAAAATGCATTTGTTAATATTCTTATAAATATCATTAATCTATTTCGGTTAGGTGTTTTTAAGTGGTTATCTAAAGCTTCAAAGAAACTATGAATAAGTTTGGTATCAATCTCCTTCAAAACTAAATCATATATTGGATGTTTAATATAAGATATTCTTGGTATTGCCTAAAATAATTAATGTTTTTTTTGTACCAAATCAAATCTAAAATAGAAGCTTAACTTACCATCAATATATCTGATATGTGTGGCAAATTTTCTATACATATAGATAATTGTTTCTTTTTGAAAAACTTATTGTTGAATTGAAGCGGATATTTATTTTTCAAATATAATAATAAATATAATGAGTCCAGTGTTTGTTCATTCCATGGTTTGGAGACCTCTGGTTCTATATAATTTAAAACTAAATCGTCAAGCTGATTGTTTGGAATCTGAAATATTTAAGCATTGTTTATACCAAAGCCATGTTTAAATAAAGTAATAAAATAATAAAGTACATGTTAAGTCCTTATGACTTACTTCATTCAATAGCTCGGTAATAAAACTGAATCCAAGTAGTAGCAAATAGTTTCTTTCTTTGGAAGATTTAATTAAAACATTTAATATGTTATTTTTTAGTTCTTCAGAGCATTTACTCCACAATTTAGCTCTGATTACTGCTCCACAAAAAAGAATTTTTCCTGTACAAATGTCAGCATTTTCCTAAGAATAAAATCAAATAATACACAGTTACACAAAAAATGATATTTCATACACCATCACTATTTTTAGCAGACCTATGTAGTTCACTTTCGACAATATTTAATAATTCAGCAATATCAAAATCAATATCCAGCTTAAATAATGTAGCTAAAGTACAATAATAACCTTGTTTACTGTTGAAAGATGATGCTCCTAATCCCCGAATAAATCTTTTAAGGGCATATTTAAGTTCATTTGAGTTCTAAAACAATATGTATCAACAAAAATTCAAAACCATAAGGATTCCTGTGCTATTTTTACCTTTTCCTTTTCATAATTATCTGAAATGTATAGAATAAGATTATTTGCACTCTTTAACCTTACGCTTTCTTGTTGATGTCCCAACTTTGAAAAATTATCAAGAATTGATCGTTTTATTTTAAAATTTTCTTCGTGATTTTGATTATTTTCAGTAATATCCATGTTCTTCATTTTTCTTCATCAATAATAAAAAATTTTAGTGTACTTAGTGCTGTATGTTCTAACTGGTTCTAACACAAAACAGAAAACACATACACAAGGTTTGGTTTGGTTTGGTTCTAACCAGGTGGATGACACTTCTTATGGGAGAACTGGAAATGGTTGAAAACTTGACTACAAGCGATTTTCTAGGAATCTTCCTTACCGATAAATTATTGACAAGAGTGACAGATAAAACCTTGACATTCTTTCAGTATAACTGTTCATCTCTTTTTCTTTCTAAAGTGTGCGTTGAAAGGAGACAAAAACAATTTTGGTGACCCATAATTTGTTATTCGAACACCACTTTTCTCCTTCTCGGGTCGTTGAGTTGACTTGTCGCCATTTTATTTCTTTTGTTTACACGCTGCAGTTTGCTTTGTAAATTGAATACATAAATTATTTAGGCAAATATAGGTTTTTGATAAAACTCCTTGGACTAACGTGTAGGTAAGTGTTGATAAATAAGTTTTTTTTCATCTTAACATGCTCATTGTCATTCTCCTGATTTAGGTGACAGAAAAGGATCATCAAATGAAATTGAATTTTATATTTTTTCATCCCAGGACCGATAATAAAATATATATTTTATGGATACCTTCCTAAATATCAACGAGATGAGCCATCGGAAGAAAGGGACCATAGTACAAAACAGAAAGGTGATCTTTTTTCTTTCCACTTAGGATATTGAAATTATTATATACTGTAGTCGTGTTTGGCATTATGCTCTTAGAAATATAGGTAAACAAAGAAGAACAGATATAAAGCATCCCAGAGGAAAAGAGAGGCAATACCTGTACTCTCTCTCTGATATTTGTGAAAGTTACGGCAAAGTATTGTTGTAAATGTCATCTTTTTAATCGACCTGAAAACTTCGAGCAAAAAGATGACACTTTCAACAAAACCCTGACAGATATCAGAGACGATACAGGTTTTTCCTCTCTTTTTCCCTGGAATACTTTTAATTTATTATTCTTTGTTTATCTAGATTTCTCAGAGCACTATGAACGAACTCAGCTTGTATGTTTGAAATAATCGTCCAGTTGGCTTCAAAATGATGATCGATGACATTTCCTATATAATTTTACTTTCAAAATTATGATATATATCGTCATTTCTAAGCCATCTATGACGCCATTTTTTTCAGTTTTGTTATAATTAATTTTGTCTCTTGATCTACTTGTAACATTATTTTTTAATTTTATTAATTTATTGTGGTGAAATTAATTTCTGTTGTATATTTGATATTGATATTAAACATATTTTTAAAAAATGGTGTATTTTTTGTGTTTTTATCTATGTCATAATTAAAAATAAATGAAGAATTAAATTTTTTTATTTTTTTAAACTTCCCGCCATGCGTGACAATCTAGTCCGTAGTTCCTACAAGCGATATTGGGGGCGCTAGTAGCAGTAGACTTGTCAACAGTGTCAAATTTAAACGTCAATTTCACTTTCCAATATTTAGCAAGGCGCTCGCACTTCTCCTTGTGTATGTGTTTTGTGGTTCTAACGTTCTAACCTGGTTCTAACCATGTTCTAACCCTAAAACAAAAGTAGGGTTAGATTTTTATTAGTGGCTAAAGATTATTTTTATGGATTAACCATATTGACATCTTATCTATGGCTGTAAGGGATGGGCGCGTAAAAAACTCAAAAAACTTCTATGGAAGATATGATCGAAAAAAAAAGGAATCAGCGATCTTGGTCAGCGATGGCTATGGAATAGAAGATCGCCGATGATCGCTGATCGCTGTCATCTATGGCTGTCATTTTATATGTGAAATTTACTGTCGTCCATTCACGCATTTGTGCAGCTCTGAACTGTTCAGAAACGCAATACTCTCACTCCATTCAATACTGTCCTCCATTCACGCAGTTGTGCACAGAGATAAGTCCATATCTCTGGTTGTGCAGCTCTGAACTCTGAACTGTTCAAGAACGCGATACTCTCACTTCATTCAATTGAGTCATAAAGTTCAGAACTGTTCCCCGCCATATGGAGGCACCAGGCTATCGCGCACAGCTTCTTTCAGAACCGTTCTGAATAGACCAGGACGTAAAACTCTGGAACCTGAAATTTGCGAATGGAGGACAGCAAATTGAGTCATAAAGTTCAGAACTGTTTCGCGCCATATGGAGGCACTAGGCTATCGCGCACAGCTGCTTTCATAACTGTTCTGTTTTTGTTCTGTGTTTTTTTTGTTTCAGTTTTGAAAGTTATAAATGTATTTCTTTCAAACGTCACAAAAGTATTAATTGTCAACGCCTAGGCATAAAAGTAAAGTGCTTTACTTGTGCTACGCTTATGCAGAAAAGTACGAAAATATATTATTAAATTGACATAATTTAGTGTGTCAGTCCAAACCAAACCAAACTTCATCATAACTTTTTTTTGGGACACTCTGTAGACAACAAAATATTTTTAAGATATGTACCATCATTGTACCATTATAAACCATGCAACATTTGTATAACACTTTTTTTGGTAATGGTGTGGATCCGGTGGCTGACCTTGAAACGAGTTTTTGCTGCATATAGTCACAGACACTACGCATGCGCACATCTTCGATGTTGCCAGATTGCAAGTTATTTTGGAATTATTTTCAGTAGAAAACAAATATGTGCTTTTCAGTGTTTTTTTGTCAATATAATATACCGTATGATCGAAAAAACTTGCGTCCAGTTGCTGGGAAATGACGATTAAGGACATTTCCCATATAATTTTTTTTTTTTATTTATTAACAAGTTAAACACTGACGTTATTTTTTTTCAATCATAGTACGCGGGTATATTATTTATTGTTATTATTTTAATATTTCGCACAACACGTGAACGCTTTATTATGTATTTTCTATAGGTCAATAAAATTAAATAGAATAAAAACTCTAGATTCCTATAATTAATCTAATTGCTCTAGATTATTATGCTACGTTTAAAAAGGGCCTTTATTAAAATTTCGGGAAATT